TGGTACTTCCGAACTTCAACCAAACGTATAGCTCAATATCCGTGCCTCGTAAGCAGGTGCAAGTTCTACCAAACCATGAGCTCGCGCCACGCAACATGCTTACAACACGCCCAAAAAGCTGCGAAGTCGCAAACCATTGGCAGCAACTAGTTTTGCTCCTATTTTCGCTGGCGACTGGTTTTCAATATGAAAACTAGACAAGCCAGTTTTGCGATGTGAAATTCGAGTACGGACCAAGTCAGAAGGAGATTTGAATATCGACAGAATTGACTATCACAATGCGATACAAGGGTTTATATAGGAATACAGTGGAATACGAAAGGTCCTAGCTAGCCATGCACGCAGTGGGGGTACATTCCCCTTAGGGCTAATGTAAATCAGGAAAACCAAAGGTGCGGTTCGGTAACAATACACGCTACGGTAACTAATTGGAAGTTTTCATGCGCTTGCACTACGAGTTCTTCCTGCTTTCAACCGTCTTCGATAACGGTTTGTGTCGCTCTGTCTTCGTCCTCGCTGCAGTCATCTTCGCGAGAAAGCAGCGCGCCTAACAGAACGGTTTGATTCACAGGTACAAAACGGAAATATCAGTTTTACAACTGTAAACAGTGGGAAAACGGGAATTCCCACACGAGTGTTTGTTAAGAAACCAAAGGAAGTTAGAAATGAGAAAGAGAGAGGTGGGTTTCACTAGCAAGCAGTTGAGTACATATAGCAAACCCTAAATTGGGCTGTACTCATTGTTGAGTACCCCACTGCAGGCTAGACAAAACATAACATTCTGACACACCCCCATAGCCAAAGTGGGGTGTAATCAGCACAACAAGCAAAGCAAAACAAGCTCAGGGTGGATCACAATGTCACCACACATTCTGAGCACAAGTACAAGAAGTAGCAGTTTATAGTGCACAAATATAAGTAAAGCTAGAGGCAGTCACAGACGGTAAGTGAGGAGGAGGAGGAACTGTGAGAGGAGAAGAGATAGGAGACGACAGGTGAAGCTGCAGACACACGGGCAACAGGAGCGGCGCGCAGTGTGGCTACCGGAGATTGTAGCCTCCGGACTACTGGAGTAACTGGCTCCGCGACTAACTCTGAGCTGCAGGAGCAACGGACCCACGTGCGACTGGCGCAGCAGGCTCGCTGGGCTACCGGAGATTGTAGCCTCTGGACTACTGGCGCTCCTGGCGACACGATAGCTGCCTCCGCCCAACATCCTCTAACTGCCTCACCCCCCTTTCACACACCCCCTGCTGCACCTCTAGCACTACTCATACTCCACCCCCTAGCACCACTCCATCGGCTCCCACATACCCACCCCCCTCAGCGGCAGCTGCAGCAGTGGGAGACGGAGGAGGAGGAGGAGCAGGGGATGCCACTCACCCGCCACCCCCCCACTCGCCACCCCCAAACCCTAACACTGGGCAGGGCCGTAGATGGCGGGTAGGGAGGGTACGGGGGGGGGGGGGGGGGGGGCAGGGCCGCGATGAAGGCAGGAGGGGCCGACGCGTGGCCCCCTTCAGTCTCCCCTTCAGGAGGGCGACGGAAATTGGGGCCACGCGGGCCCCAATTGGCGCCGCGACGGGGTCGCAATGGGCGACGGGGCAGGGCCGGGGTAGGGCCGGAGCAGGGCCAGGACAGGGCCGGGGCGAGGCCGCGACAGGTCCAGGACAGGGCCGCGACAGGGTCGGGGCAGGTCCGGGACAGGGCCGCGACGGGGCCGGGGCGGGGTCGGGGCAGTGCCGGGGCAAGGCAGAGGCCGGGGCCGCGACAAGCGACGGGGGAGGGCCAGGGCAGGGCCACGACGGGGTCGAGTAGGGCGTCGCGCGGCCCCCAGGGCAGCGCGACGGTCAGAAAACCGCCGCGCGCCTCGAGGCGCGCGGCGGGAAGAAAAATGGCCGCGCGCCATGGGCGCGCGGCAGGCAAGCAGGCAGCGCGCGCCCGAGGCGCGCGATAGACAGAGTTGACAGCGGAAGATTAGGTGGGCCCATCCACAGGATCGACCAGTGAGGGTCGACCTGCTCTGATTCCATGTTAAGAAACCAAAGGAAGTTAGAAATGAGAAAGAGAGAGGGGGGTTTCACTAGCAAGCAGTTGAGTACATATAGCAAACCCTAAATTGGGCTGTACTCACTGTTGAGTACCCCACTGCAGGCTAGACAAAACATAACATTCTGACAGTGTTCATGATTCTACTTGTGCGATCATGATCGTTCGCGAGAGGAGTCAGCACGGGCAATTGGGAGACCTGGAAATTGAAGACGGTTATTTCAAGGACTCGGATCAAGCCAAATGCAACAGAAGTTTGGCAACCGTTTTTCTAGAGAGCAAGGCGAAATCCTTTTGTTAATGAAAATTTCTCTATCATCGTATTGACGTGAAGAGCTACTTCTGCATAGGAGCCGATTCGTCGTCAACGCTGCGCAAACGAGTTTGGGAGCGTTCTAGTGCGTGTGATTGGATTTACACTTAGTGCGTCCCTCGACAAACACAGACCCTTGGTTAGGGGCTGGCTTTGCCAGGCACCCGAGGACCCTTGGAGGTGATCCCGTGGGGACCAACTAGTGTGTATTAAAGGCGGGATTAGAGCTTATAGATCCCATATAGTAGTCAACAGTTTATACATACAATCCTGAAACAAAGTCGCCACCAGCAGGTCCGCACATACCCAACAAAAAAGGGAACATACTAAAACGCTTGGATAACCAAGACAGAGTTTGGGAATGTTAACCCTAAATACGGGATGTCGCCTAGTGCTTAGGATTATCTGCTAGAACAAACGTCACCGCCCAGCGGAGCTTACTACCCGCGGGAAATTAAAAATAACCCTCCTACTGAAAGGCATCCATTCAGGATGGCATCAACCCTTAAAACCCTGTCGCATGATGTTTCGGGTTGATGCCATCCAAAGGGGTTTTAGGGCGTGTAACATCGCCAAACTTACCATTTTCAGGAAATCTGCCGGGCCGTTGTTGGCGAATGTAACCACATAGCGACGTTCGTCAAAATCCTGGCGACCGTCGTTATTCTTATTTAAAATTTGTGAATTTGAGGTTCGCTTGAACGGGCTGAAATCAAACCGAACACCGTGTCTACTCCAAACCGGCCAACTAGTCGACAGGGTGAGCGAGAGTCACCTGCGACATCGCAGGGTATCGCATGGCCAATGAGAATCATCGCCGTCAAATTTGCGACCCCGTCACACATCTCTGCCCATCGTAGTACGTGCAATGTGAGAACTTTCATACAACAGACTGCAAATCGGCCATCAAAGTTGTCACACCTGCAAAACTGCAAATCCTGGTCGTTTAACAGTCGACACTTTGTCGACCAATCCGTCGACTTTCGCGAAAGAAATTACGACCATGTGGTCGACGGATATTTGGCCAAAAGCCATTTTCGCAAATGGTTGGCGATGTGACACTCCCTTAGTTTTCTTTCGTACAAGGTCAGCAGGTCCACGGTCGATGGAGGGTTGACGGTGCTATCGACCTTATTCCGTTAAGTTATTCCCAGTCTGTATTTTTTTTTTCCAATGGGTTTTTTTTTTTTTTTTTTTCAAATTTTGCGCTTTGTACAATTTTTCTTTGTAAAGGGTTGAGTATTCAATGTTTTTTTCTCTATTGTTAGGTAGCACCTCCACACAATATTGTCTAATTAAGTTCGGTCATCGCGTTATGTTTCTGTCATATTTTGGAGGTGTTTTTAGCATGAAAGGTGTGATTGAAAAGCGAGAACCAATCAGCGATGAGAAATCGAGGTTGAGTACGTTTGCAAACCGCGTCTGGCATAATTTGAGTAACAATGATGTTGGCCGTGTGATATTTGCACTTTCACCGCGTCCTTAGAGCAGTGTAGGTAGCTTCAATCAGCCATGGCTTTCGTGTTGCCGCGTTACAGTAAAGTGGTCGACGACCATTGTACTCAAGCAAGATTTTTTACTAGAGTGAGAGCCCGCGGCTTTGTTCTAGCAGTGTGGCGGACTCAAGTGTTGCGACCGATTGTTTCGCATGGCACCGTGTAACAACACGAAGGCGATCTCGCCTTCCTCGATTTTGCCAACTCAGCTCCTTGTGATCCGAACCAGAATTCGGAACACACCCAAAGTTCATTTCGGGAATTCAAAGTTGGAACTCCAACATTGAAATGTGCGACCCGACTTTCTGAGTTTCCAACCGTGGGAACTAAGTACAGAGAGCATACTAGTGCTGGACACAACGGGGCAGAGAACTACCTACAGCGCAGCAGATTACTCGACAGCTCAAGACCCTACAGCTATGAATACTTCCAGCAGTGCTCGTACTCACCATGATCAACGACGACTTGGAAGACAAGACAGAGAAATCTCTGCCCATTACATTAGAATTTTCCTAGACTTTGCTGATTGGTTCTAAGACTAGACAACAAGGCTAGGAAGCTATGTACATAATAATAAATGCTATGCCTTGCTGTTCCTAGCTCTAGGAATATGAAAGGCGATCTGAGCGACCTGCTCATTGCGCCATAGCTAGTATCCTAGTATATTAGGATGTACCTCTGAAATGTAAGCCATCATATGATCTCTTGTAAAGCTATCTTGCTACTATCTTTCTGAAATTATCCTAAGAGCAGTTCCTACTACTACTACTCTGCCAAAACGGCTTAGTGACTGTTCCACACCGGGCCCCACAGTTCGCAGAAGGCAAGTACCGCTGCCACCACTGTCTGGCGCGATGAAGTCACTGCCATCGCGCGATGCGACATCCAACTGCCAGGACGCAAGCGCTGCTGCTAATATAGCGAGCTATTTATTAGCTCCCGAGATCACAGAACTATACGAACCACCACTGCCACAACAGCCTCTCCTTCCAGAAGCACAGATTCAGTGCCTATACTGACCTTCACGGCACACCCCTCACCGCAGTCGGCCCCCCAGCTTGCCGCCTGGTCTCCCCATCCCCGCAAAACTCGTTCCCTCTATCATCCCCGCCGCACTTCGAGCGCGTCCCATCCCTGCCGCCATGGCGACGGAGGCCTTTCCCGCACTCTCCTCCACTGTGGCTCCCGCGCCTTCCGCCCTTTGGTCCGCCAACCTCACCGTGAGTTCCCCAGCCCTCCCCAGTCGGCACGCTCTCTCCACTTCCCCCATCTGCGCGCGCTCTCCGTGCTTTCCTCCCTCGTCTCCCCTCATACTGCTCAACTCCCCCTCTTCCCCCGACTCCAGGCGCCATGGCAGAACTTCGTGCTAGGGCAGGGCGGCAACCCCAAGCTCGTCGCTCCCTACATGGTGCAGAGCGTAGAGGGGCGCATCGCGTGGGGGCTGCCGGTGCGCGACCCTCAACCAGGGTACATCGTGTAGGCGTTCGTCACCGCGCTCATGCTCTCCACGCTGCAGGGCCTCCCCCCCCACCAGCTCTCTGCCTACGATGACCTCTCCGCCACCCTCTCCTTCCGCCAACCCTCCTCCACGCCCTCCGATCCCGCCGCGCTCGAGGTCCCCCTTGTGCGCGGGTCCCCCTTTTTTACGTTGATATTCCCCCTGGGCGGCCCCCCCGCGACGCCCATGCTGACGACGATCCACGCCATCACGGGCGTGGAGGCCAGCAGCGATAGCAGCAAGTACCGTGTTGCACTCAACAACGGCCAGGTCAGCCCTCCGAACCAACCGCCGCACCCCATTCTCGTGTCTCGTTCTCCCATCGTACCTGCTATCTTCTCCACCTGCCTGTCCCAAACTTCCTATATTAGAATCCCCCCACTCACTGTATGTATTAACCACCACCTCTCCTCCCCCCTTCTCCCTTCTCCCTTCACCGTGTCGCTCTCGACAACGGCCAGGTCAGCTCCCCGCTCCTCTGGCACGAGCCCGATTCCCTCATTCTTCAAGCACGTACCCACCTCTCACTCGCTCATTGTCCCACCTATCTCCCCACTCCACTTGCTCGCCTTTTCTACTCACCACCCCCCTCTCCCACCCCTTTCCCCTCTCCACCCCTCCTTCAACCCCACCAGACATGGCCAGGTCTGCCCTCCGTGCCAACCATTGCACCTTATTCCCATGTCTCTTTCTCCCATTGTCCCTGCTATCTTCTCCACCCGCTTGCTCTCAAACTTCCTGTGTTAGAACCCCCCCACTCACTGTACGTATTCATCACCACCTCTTCCCCCCCCTTCTCCCTTCAACCCCCCACCAGACATGGCTGGTGTATCTGTCGTCGCCACTGGCGATGCGGCAGGACGGGGCGACGCTGGTGGCGGACGCGCCCTTCACGGGGACCATGCGTGTGGCGCTGCTGCCGGGCTCTTCCCCGCAGGACGAGGAGGCGCTGCTGGGCGCGCACGTGCCCACGGTGCCGGTGGGGGGAGCGCGTAGGTGGGCGCGTTCCGCATCGAGTACACCTGGCGCACCCAGCAGTGGCGCGAGCTGGCTGACGGCAACACCGAGGCGCCGCTGCTCATGCTCTCGATGCCAAGTAAGTAGCGGCGTGCTGCAACTTGTGTTGCCATGTGTGCTGCAACTTGTGTTGCCATGTGTGCTGCAACTTGTGTTGCCATGTGTGCTGCTACTTGTGTTGCCATGTGTGCTGCCACTTGTGTTGCCATGTGTGCTGCAACTTGTGTTGCCATGTGTGCTGCAACTTGTGTTGCCATGTGTGCTGCAACTTGTGTTGCCATGTGTGCTGCAACTTGTGTTGCCATGTGCGCTGCAACTTGTGTTGCCATGTGCGCTGCCACTTGTGTTGCCATGTGTGCTGCCACTTGTGTTGCCATGTGTGCTGCGACATGTGTTGCCATGTGTGCTGCCACTTGTGTTGCCATGTGTGCTGCAACTTGTGTTGCCATGTGTGCTGCAACTTGTGTTGCCATGTGTGCTGCAACTTGTGTTGCCATGTGTGTTGCAACTTGTGTTGCCATGTGTGCTGCCACTTGTGTTGCCATGTGTGCTGCCACTTGTGTTGCCATGTGTGCTGCCACTTGTGTTGCCATGTGTGCTGCTGTGTCACCTGGGAGCCCTCATCACTTGTCCGTCAAGCTAAATCCCATCTCCCTTGTTCCTTCTCTTCTCTGTCCCCTCTTCCCCCCGCCTCCCCCATGAGCAGTGTACCGGCGCATGGATGGAAGTGAGCGCGCACAGCCCCTCCCTTCCCTCCAACCTCCGCAGTCACACCAGCGGCTCACCCTCAGGCGCCTTGGGGGCCATCCACGGCCACCAAAACCCCGCCTCTGCCACCCCCTCCCACGCACGCAGCAATGCACCGTGGTCGTCCGTGCGAGCTGCGTCGGTGCCCGATGCATCAGTGCTGGCATACCCCACCATCGACGGCCAGGTCGTGGGCATGCAGGGGGGCGTGTGGCGCCTCAACGTGCCCAAGCTCCCCTCCACGTGGCGCCCAGGGCCCCTCACGTCTGACCCCCAGCTGCTGGACGAGCTGAGGGCCACCCTCAAGCAGGACGTGGCATCTCTGCCACCTCTCTTCTCCACCTCCACCTACTCCTTCGGCAAGGCAGCGGGGCGCGCCGCCCGCCTGGCGCTGATTGCGAAGCAGGTGCAAGATGAGGACAGCCTGGCCGCCGTGCTGCCGCCCCTGCGAACCGCGCTCTCCGCATGGCTGGACGGCACCTTCCCTGGTAACCGCCTGCTGTACGGCCCCACGTGGGGCGGCATGGTGAGCGAGGCAGGGTCGCGCGATCAGGGGGTGGACTTTCGAGCGGCCATGTACAACGACCACCACTTCCACTACGGCTACTTCATCTACGCCGCTGCCACCGTCGCGAAGTTTGACCCCGCGTGGCGCGACTGGTACCGTGCGCCTCTCGAGGACCTGATGGCGGACTACATGTTGGCGGAGCGCACCGCAGCATTCCCGAGGCTGCGCCACTTTGACGCGTACGCATTGCACTCGTGGGCCAGCGGGCTGTTTGAGTTTGGCAACGGGCGCAACCAGGAGAGCTTCAGCGAGGCGGCCAATGCGTACTACGTGGGGGCGCTGCTGGCGTCCGTGCTGAGCGACCAGCCGCTCGCCTCGCTGGGCGCCACGCTGGCATCTGTGGAGGCCCTCGCCGGGCAGACCCTCATGCACGTGCCACTCGGCTCATCCGACCCAGAGCCCTCCTTCACACCTGCATCCGAGGCAGTGTTTGCAGATGCCAACCGTGTGGTGGGCGTGCTGTGGTCCACCAAGCGTGACGCGGCGTTGTGGTTCGCCCTGCCAGCGGACGTGGGCATCCAAGTGCTGCTGGTCTCGCCCTTCCTCAAGCACCTATTTCCTGACCCCGAGTTCGCCAAGCAGCTTGTGGAGTGGGCACAGCCTGTGCTAAGCGGTGCCGCCACGGATGAGTGGCGCGGCTTTGTGTGGGCACTGCAGGCGCTGTACGACCCGCAGGGGGCCAGGGCGAACATTGCAGCTCTAGGTGCCTTTGATGATGGCAACTCCAAGACCAACATGCTCTGGTGGCTCGCTTCCAACATGCCATAGCTAGGCAAGGTTTCTTTGCTCATATTCATTTGATGCTTATGCATGTACAGGATAGCTTGCGCACAGCCTTATTCACATGTGTAGTCAACACTATTTGCTTTGATGGCAACTCCAAGACCAACATGCTCTGGTGGCTCGCTTCCAACATGCCATAGCTAGGCAAGGTTTCTTTGCTCATATTCATTTGATGCTTATGCATGTACAGGATAGCTTGCGCACAGCCTTATTCACATGTGTAGTCAACACTATTTGCTTTGCTATGACTTGCCTCCTGCATTCTTTCCCAAACACAGTAGCCATCTCCATAAGCAGCCACTTGGAACTCTTTCTCGCTGGGAGCCAGGTCCCAAATGTCATAACGTGCGCCTATCTTAACAACCAGCCTGCTGTCGATGTCATTCAGATAGAGATCGTCTTCAGCAAGTGACGATGCTGCACTTGCTCTTGGAGTGCACCCCGTTGCGCTTCCGGATAGCCAATAGCGCGTTGATAGCCTCCTTGTGTCCCCGCTCGTAGTAATGGTCATAGAACTACAACACACATGACATGAACAGTGTCAGGCAGGGACCGTGCTAGGTTTTGGGGAATCCTGAGGCCTCAGGGCAACTTTCCAGAATCTGAAAAAAAATGCACTGATTTGTCAGGGAATTTTTTCGAAGGCCTCCTGTAGTTTCAGCACTTTTGCAGAAATAAATATTGACCTGTCAAGCCTAAAAATCGAGTGTTCAGGGTTCTGTTTTTAGCACTTCTAGTGGTACCAGCATTGTCCTACTCCCTACTAACTAATCCAGACCAGAAACCACCACCAGACCAAACCACCAGAGCTGCTGCTAAACCTCTTCGCCCTCCTCCTCATCATCATCAAAGCTGGTGCTAAACTCACTGTCGTTGCTGCTGCTGCAACCATGTTCAGAATCTCCCTCTTGTCCGTCCTCAAACGCTTTACCCTTCCCCGTAGCACTTACTGGCCTTTGCCTCTGCTTCTCCCTTCTCATGGTAGGCCCCCTCTTCTTACTGCTGCACCACAAATTCCATGTCGTAATCAACCAGGCTCAGGCTACATCAGGTCACTGAGAATGGCATGACAGAGACTGGTCCTGTGAAATGACTAAATCACGTTCTGACGGTTAAAGCCGGGCTCACACTTGACGGTGCTGGGCGGCAAGACAGCCACCGCTGTCCAGAGGCGGACGAGGTTGGGGTGGCTCCGCTCCCAGTCCTTCGTTCGCAACAATGCCGCCAGGCCGCGTTGAAATGTGCTCTCGCGTCGGGGACTGCCAGCCAGGTTAGGGACGAATGTCCTTAGTTCCTTCTTGGCAGCACGCTTGTCCACACATGCCACGCATTACAAGATAGATTCTGGCTATACACAGAAAGGAAACTAAGCGGATTATGGACAAAGAACAAAATGGGTAAGGCAATATAACTTTGCTTACCCAGGAGAATGTCTGTTCGCTCGCGGGCATGGAATAAGTCGACGAGGGCCTCGAAGTGGTCGAGGCACTCCTCATCGCATGCCTCCTTGCCTGGAGGGTACGTTTCCAGCATAAAAAGCCTGACATGGTTTAGGCTATCGAGTTCCCTCAGCCTCGAGTGGAGGTGGCTGAGCGTTGACTTGGCATGTGCACGGCAGACGCCGAGATACGACTGCAAGTCATCTGAAGACTTGTTGTAGCCGGCCAATGCTTCCTCGTGCAGCTCAAAGCTATGTTGTCGCGGCTGCCCCTCCCCATCCACATTATCCACCGTGGTGTGCCGAGACTTACTGAGCCTGGTGAGGAAGGCCCCAAGATGTTGCTGTGGGCCGCCACCGAAATCACCGCCGCACTCGATGTAGCGCGTACGGATGGTGATCATGGTGTGTCCCATGTTCGACTGCACCGAAGTCATGTCAACCTGCCACATAACACGGTGCAGGGTTGGCAAGGACCATACAACAGTGCTTAGAGTCTTTGGCTTTCAATGGCAACTCACCTCCCATATTTGAAACTCCAGGTTAAGGTTGTTGAGGAGGATGAGCATGTCGGCAAGGTAATAAAGAAACACATTGAACTTCACTGAAGTCACGATGAGGTAAAAGTCGTCCTCCACTCCTAGAAGAGCACGATGACGACAGGGAGCACACGCACCAAGCACGAGATGGCATCACCATGGCTCAGCCAACGAACTGCTTCAATTCCCTAGAATTCGAGGTTTGTCTGGCAAAAAACCTTCTGCAGCTCCTTGAACTCATTTTGAGAGGGATGTGACCTTCCCGGGTATTCTGCGAGTTCCTTCAGTATGGTGTCAAGCAACCCCAGCTCAGGGACTGCATTGGTGGACTCCTTAAATGCCATCACCTCTCTGCCACATCAGGACATGTTGTTATGTCAGAATAATGAATGAGAATGAATGAACTAGCAAAGAGTTGGGTACAAGTACTAACCCTAATTGGGTTGTACCCCTTATGGGCTACCCCACTATAGCCTATACAAAGTAAGCTATATAACATTTTGACACACCCCCATAGGCAAAGTGGGGGAGAAAAAGTGGTCACAAGACCAGTCAAGAAAAGCAAAGCAAGCTCAGGGTGGATCACAAAGTCACCACACAGTCCGAGCACAAGCAAAGGGCCACAACGCCAGTTTACATGCAGAGTTATATAAAAGAGAACAAACAATACAGTGATCATACCCTATGAAGAGTAAGTACGCAAGTATATATATAGATCACAGTACAAACAAAGTCACGCAATGAGCAAGTGAGGCAAAGTAGGCACAAGGCCTAACAAAGTAGAGAAGCGCTGATGATCACCAGGCGGAAGTGCCTTGGTGAATACATCAGCAGTGTTGGCCCTAGTGGCCACGTACGCAAGATGAAGCTGGCCACGCTGCTGCAACTCTCGAGCAAGGAACCATCGCAGAGCGATGTGCTTCGTTCTGTGCTCCAGTCTGTGCTCCTGACACAAAGCAATCATGGCCTTGTTGTCTACGTACAGAACTGGAGGCGAACGAGGCTGCTCTCCCAAATCATTCAGCAGGTAGGTGAGCAAGCGTAGCTCATGTGCAGCCATGGCCCCTGCGTAGATCTCAGCCTCACAACTAGAGCTGAGAACCGAAGACGAGTGGGTAGACTGCCAGGAAACAGAGCCGGAACCGAGGCTGAAGGTGTAACCCTGTGACGACCGCTGCGTAGCTGAGTCGTCAACCCAAGAAGCGTCTGCGTGACCACTGAGGACAACTAGACCCCGTCCTCCAAGAACGAGCCCCATGCCCGACGTACTGCACAAGTAACGCAGTACCCTCTTCGCAGCATCCCAGTGCACCTTTCGGTGCCTACCGGGAGCCACGTACCAAGCCACAAGGCTGAGAGGGTACGCGAGTTCAGGTCGTGTGCACGTCATCAGATACATGAGGCAACCCACAAGCTCTGGGTACGAACCCCTCGGCTCTACGGACTCGTCCGAAGGTGGAGCTGAGAGCAAGTGGCCGGTAGACAGAGGAGTGGACTGTGGCGAGGAGAACTGGAAGCCGAAGCGCTGAAGGACCTGGTGCACCATGTGTGACCGGGTCAGGGTGATGGTGCGCCGTGCTCTTTCCCGGGTGATCTGCAAGCCAAGATAGCTACGCAGTTCACCTAGGACAGTGCAGGTGTGTCTCTTCTGCAACTCTGACTTCACAAGGGTCAGTGCCTCGGTGTCAGCAGTAGCAAAGACGAGGTCGTCGACGTACATGAGGACGTAGAACGGCGGCAGCGAGGTGTCGGTGCGTAGAAACAGCAACGTGTCAGCAGTAGAAGGAGCAGACCCAAGAGCCGCAAGTGTAGTCCTCTGTATGTCGTGCCACTCGCGAGGCGCCTGGCGGAGACCGTATACTGGCCGCCAGAGGCTCCACTGGGTACCAGCAGGAAACGACCCAGTGAAGCCAGGTGGGCGGCGCAGCCAGATCTCCTCGTGCAGGCTGCCCTGCAAGAAAGCTGTGCTGAAGTCTAGAGAGTGCAACTCGTAGTCACGCTGAGCAGCGACATGCACCAACACCCGAAGAGTAGTCATCTTTGGGGTGGGGGAGAAGGTCTGAAAGTAGTCTACCCCCTGTCGCTGACTGAAGCCTCGAGCAAAGTAACGCGCCTTGAAGGCAGGCGGAGAACCCGGCAGCCGCTTCACCCTGAAAATCCACATGCCATTGACTATGTTTGCCCCATGTGGGGAACAGCAACGACGTAGGGTGCCTGTGCACTTCCAGGATGCCATCTTGGCATCCATGGCTGCCTACCACTGAGAGGAGTAGGGACTCGTAATCGCCTCTGCGTAAGAGCGCAGGGTTGGGATGTCTGGTGCATCCGGGTCTCCCTCAGGGGCAAACAGCATGGAAGCGAAACGAGGTACAGCAGCTGCAAGAGACTCAAAGTCCTCCTGCCTATCCTCAAGGACGTCCGTGCCAAGAGGACACTCACCCCCGACGGACGGAGGACTGGCAGACTCAGACTCAGCAACAAGAGCAGTGGTGTAGTCTAGACGACAAGCAGCAGCAAAGTCAACCAGCTCAGCAACGAGGGCAGACGTAGCAGCAGTCTCAAAGGAAGGGTCAGTGACAGCAGGAAGAGAGGACTCTAGAGGACCAGGCAGAGGAACATGCAATGGAACAAGAGGAGGACGCGAATAAGGAACGCGGCGAGCAGTGCGAACAGGCGAGACAGGACAAGACGCAGGCTCACGACGCTCAGTAAGACCGCCGAACTGCTCAGTGTAAGGAGAACGAGCAGGCAGTGGGGAGGCTGGCTGTAACGGCAGCTGCGACTGGTCAGGCGGTGGACACAGGAGGGGAGGAGTAAGGCTCGTAGAAGACGAGACACAAAGAACCTGCTAAAGTAGGGGAACAAAGAACGTTCGCGGCCGCATCGTGTCTCAAGGGCCAACCGCTCCTGCTCCTCCAGCTCCAGCGCCTTCCGCGCTAGTGCCTCCAACACCAGCTCCTCCAGCTCCAGCGCCTCCAGCGCCAATGCCACCAGCTCCAGCTCCTCCA